GACTGAATTCTAGGCCCAACTCCCTCTCACCCTTAAACAATTGGCTATAAAATCAGGTCAAACCATGTCCCTCCACATCACTGATGTGGCAACTATTGTCACAAAATGGACAGTTCTCTAGGAATGTGCCTCCTAGCTCTGTGGCACCTCATCAGGCAAATGGAATAGATGGCCATAGGAATGAGCCTTCCTAGTGACATGGGACTTTCTGTTCTTTATTGGCCCACACATGCATTCTAAGTAATGATATTTGGTCAGTGAGGGAACTGAGGACTAAATATGACCTTTTTCTCTTACCCAAATTCATAACTAAAAGGCTTGGAAAGTCACTGCCTGATAAAGACTCACCAGAAAGGGTTTTATTACCCTTTTACCCTATATACTAAAGTTTGTTTTCCAACCTGTTTCTGGCATAACATCATGCAGCTGACAAAGAAGGAAAAACTGAAGAAACTGCAGGATCTTTGGTGAATGGCTCCTACCCTGTCTGGATGCTGAAGAGCACCCTCCAGATCATTGGCTCAAGAACCAGAAAGCCATCTTTTAAAAAACGTGTGGGGGGGGGGGAGGGATGGCATTCTGTGGGCTCTAAACTATCTGTGGAACAAAGAGGATCAGGAACAGTGTTTAGTTGCTCTGATAGTCACTCCAGCATCTATCCATAACACTTCAGAAACTGTACATTGGACTAGTACCCTGAAATTGCTCACTCAATAATGCAGAGATCTCCTGGGAAGAATCCCAGATGGATAGCATTTTATTGTTTATTCCTTGTTACCATGGTAGGAAGATGTGGCCCACCAGCATGTGCTACAAAATTTATCTAAAACACTTATAATTATTGCTAATAAAACTGCAAAATCTTTAAGAATTTGCAAATTTCTTTAGATTCTGTGGCTAAGGTTTTAAACAATAGAATGGCTTCTCGTTGTTCCTATATTAACTTGCTAACTTGTAACTTGTTAACTTGTTAACTTGTCCATACAAGTGGAAACCAGCATTGAGAAAATTAGACAGCAAGTCACTTTGTTTTTTGGGGGGTTTTTTTGTTTTTTGTTTTTGAGTTGGAGTCTTACTCTGTCACCCAGACTGGAGTGCAGTGGCACGCTCCCAGCCACCGCAGCCTCGACGTGCTGGGTTCCGGCGATCCTTCCACCTCAGCCTTCCGAGTAGCTGGAACTACAGGTGCGCGCTACCACGCCCAGCTAATTTTTTGATTTATTGTAGAGATGAGGTCTCGCCAAGTTGCCCAGGCGGGTCTCGAACCCGCGGGCTCAGGCAATTCACTCACCTCAGCCTCCCAAAGCATGGGATTACAGGCTGAGCCACTAAGCCCGGCTGCCACTTTGTTAAAGCAGACCCTGGACAATCAAACTGTTTTTAGATGGAGTCTTTGATGGAACTCTGGATTGATTTTCTAATTTGTTTTTGTGGATTTCCTCTGGCTTAAGAAGCATCTTTTCTGGTATAGGAATAACTGTTTTAATATGTGAATTATTGTTTTATATATTGTTTAAATGCTGTGTATCTTGTATGATTAAAGCCCCTGAGCTTATAGCCAAAACTGCACATGATACAAGAAAACAGAGAAGAGGTCATTAAGATGTTCAAACAGAAACGGTCAGCAGCCCCATGATAGAAATCATGGGTAAAACTGACAATGGGGAATGTTATAGGCCAAGGCTCCAGGAATGGGGGTTTCATACATTGCTCATGTTTGATTTGAAGTTGTTTATCTACTACATGTACCAAGGTAGCATCTTTTAATTGTTGTAATTTCTCATTCCCCACCTTAAAATACATAGTCTTGGGGGCGAGTGAAGGAGGATTGGGAGATCTTGAGTAATGCCCTTATTAATTTAGCCTTGGGGGTGGGTGAGGGGTTATGTAATGGAATATAAACTGAGTAAATGGTACTGCCTTTGAGGGGGTTTTGGGTAATGATGCTGACCTATCTATCTGTAACTTGGATGCAGAAATAAACTCCCTTTTCTCCCAGTTTCTGCCTCTCATCTTCAATTGACTGTGAGGGAAGAAGCTGGAATAGTTTATTTGGGAACAGCTTGACTTAATTGATTCTGCCAGGGTAAATGGTAAAGATTCTTCTCCAGGTTTGTGACTTTGTATGTGTGTGTATGCAGACTGGGGGTGGGGAGTATGCCCAGAGTTTTTGCCTTTTTTACTAAGAATAGCAGCCAGGAAAGAGCCAGAGTGGGAAAGAAGATGTGGTACTTGCTAAATGAAATATAAAACATTAAGCATAAAATGGTCAAGATATACAAATACTTTGCACTGGCATCATAATTCTAAGCAAAATCAGTTTTAAAAAAATCATCTTTAACTCTGCTTCTTGAGTTTATTGAAACCCATGTATGACCTTGTGTTCCAAGGAGAGCAAAACCTGTGAGGTTGACCCAGGCCTCAGGAAGCTGATTGGCAGCTGGAACAGCAAAAGATAAGCAAACAGCTTATCTGAGATTTAAAAAAAAAGTATGATAAAGTAAAGCCACCAGGAATGGGTGCTGGAGTCCAGGGGGCTTGTGTGAGTCCTTGAAATGAGGGGTGGGTTGAGGAAGGAAAGAGTGAGAGCATAGGCATCCCCAAGGATAGCCACGTGGCTTGTGTCAGCAGGGCTGGAGGGCTGTACTCTGAAGCTCTGAACGAGTTGCCCACCTTCCACCCTGGTTTTCCTCCTACTGTACACTGCCTTTGGTAGGAACCTGACTGGCTGCAGGTCCTCAGTGCCAACCACACATTCTCTGCCTCTAGAAATGGGCAGTATCCAGTCCTTCTTCCTGCTTCACTCCTTGAATTGAGTATCCTTCCTTAGTCTCCTCTCAACTCCTGCCAGCAGGCACCAGTCCCAGCCACTCCCTTTCTCTCTGTGAAGGACAAAGGGCTTTTGCGCCTCTCTGGGTTTCTCTGGAGTGGTTAGATCTGAGCAGGCACAACTTCTGCCTCAAAGAAGTCTTTGGCTCCAGAGGGCAGAGTCCAGGGCACAGAACAGGAAGTGACTGTCTGGGGGGCTTTTCTGGGCACTGAGGGCAGAGGGCAGGAAGTGGTTGGGCAGAAGTTTGTGGGTGTGAGAGTGCCCAGGTGGGCCCTTGTCCCTGCTGGTGGGCTGGGGGCATTGGCTATGCAGGTCTAAAGTGTTAACATTCACACTCAGGGGAAATATGGTGAGCTGTTGGTGGTGGAAATACAATTCTTTTTATGTATTTGCTCTTCCTTATGTCTAGTCTCTAAAATCAGTGTCTTATTTGTGAAGCTTTCTTTTAATGCCTAAAAGGTTATATTTACCGACTCTGTATTTCTATTTCTAGTAACTGAGGTCCAGAATGTGGCCAAAGATTTCTACACAGTAATGGCCAAATAATTATTTATGGTAGCAAACAGTACATTTAAACCTAAATGTATAAGAGCAAGAGTATAAAACTTAAAATTTTCAAAGACATTTTGTAGGTTAGGTAAGTGTTCAAGATATACATGAAAAGCAGGATACAAACAAATATATAACTGAATGATCCCAAGTATATTTAATGTTGTATGTAACTTTTGTACATACATACATGAAATACAGAAGGAATTATACCAAATCAGTAGTTGCTGCTGGATTGTAGGATTACTGGTATTTGTTTCCTCATGTTACTTATCGAACTCTTATAATTTTCTACAATGAATCTACATATGCAGAAACAAAGGGTAAATGTTATCAGAAAGAAAGAGTACCCATTTGCCTAACATGTCATCTGTGCTACTGGCTCAGGGCTGCCAGAATGGGCACTGTCCTGAGCAAATGGAGCAAGGGGCCCACCAGTGTGTCCCCTCCTGTGAGCAAGCCTGTGCATTGACACCCAGTATGCATCTTTGCAGGTTTTAGAAAGCTTTGTCTCCAACTAGATACCTATAGAGTGGTGTTAGGAGGTTTGCCAGCTCCTAATAGGGGCTGGGAGGCTGACAGAGTGACCCAGATAGCTGTGAGGGAGATTCCTGTTCACGAAGTAGAAGTAAGAGGAAGCAGCAAGTCTGAGGTACTGCCTAGAATAAACTCATGGAGATTGCCCACAGGACAACTCCTACTTGAACTTCAAATAACTGACTTCTCCTTTCCAAAGATAATCACTAAGTGCTTGCCTGCTGGACCCCAAGTATAAGATGGTGACAAAATAGAAACATTCCCATGCTGTCCTGGAATTTATAGTCTGGTCAGGAAGACAGTGGATAAACCAGCAGATACATGATTACAAAAGGCTGGGGCGAGTACTGTAGAAACAACAGCACCAAGAGATTATGAGAAGAGGCCACATTCATGCAAGACTCATACATGAAAAGGAGCCAGTTTGGAGAGAGTGGAAAGGAAGGACCCTCCAAGTAGATGGAGACGATGAGGCAGGAAAGGACTCATGTCAGAAGCACTGTGAGCTGGCAAAGTTTTAAGGGGAGGAGGGGAGGAGGGAGGGGCCAGGAACTGGAGTGTGTTTAAGGCTGCAGGGCAGCTACAAGAGAGTTTCAGAATAACACACCACCTGACACATTTTGAAAGATCACCCTGGTGGCTATGTGGCCAATATGCTGATTGCAACATAAGCACAAACTCTCACCAGGCCAGGTGCATTCTGGCTCAGATAACTCTCCCACCAATCCTCAGAGGCAGCCTGTTTCATAGGGAAGAAAACCAGGGCTTGAGTGGCCAGATGGGAAGAATAGAGTGGGTGGCCACATCTAGGCTGCCCTGTATGACCGCTTAGAAATTCCTGGGTCCTTGTTGCTGGCATGAAACAAATGAGAGTTGGGCATGCCTTGGCTGGACTGGGAGCAGGAAATGGAGAGAAGTGGACAGATTCCAGAGACAGTGATGTGGCGAGATGGACCCTGCTCAGTGTGGGGTAGAATATGGTGAGGGAGCAACCAAGTGGAGGCTCCTGGTGCATGGGCTGTGCTTGGCCTGAGCTGCCTGGAGGACAGTGACTTACAGAAACTGGTATGGCTCTGGATCTTACCTAGGTTGCTGTCGATCTTCTGGTGATAGGATCTAAGGTGTGGGTTCTTGGGATAAGCATCAGTGCTCACAGCATAACTAGCCCCTCCAGGGATGGAGTCTGAGTTCAGGGAAAGAAACATCGGGAGAATGGTTAATTGGTGTCCCTTGAAATGCTGCTTCACAAAATTAATATTAATCTGGAAAATGGGTAAAAAGAATAAGGTGGTTGGTTTCAAGGCCATTCAAAGGGATGAGGATCAGAAGGATAAAATGCACATGGCAGGAGCACACTGTAGGCTTGTAGGCCAGAGGGACAGATGCTTCCATGGGGCAGGTTAATGCTCTTGCCTCTCACACAGAGCTTGGGAGATCAAAGACCTCAGCCTATGGTTCATCTGCTCAGACTCTGGTATACAAGCTCTGGACAGAGACAGAGGTTCACGCATGTGACAATATGGCAGTGGAAGCCAACAATGCAAAACTATACAGTGGACAAGGTCTAAAAATCAAAATTGTTATTTATGGAAATGGGATTATGGGTGATCTTTATTCCTTTCTGAAATTTATTTCCATGCATTCTTTTCACAAGCAAAAAAGAAATATTAAATAATATACATTTGTCTCAAGAAGTGTTCCTTAAACTTTAGTTTCTTTTCTTTTCTTTTTTTTTTTTAGTTGGAGTCTCACTCTGTTGCCTAGGCTGGAGCACAGTGGCACTCTCAACAGCCACCACAGCCTCGACTTGTTGGGCTCAGGTGATTCTGCGTCAGCCTTCCAAGTAGCTGGAACTATAGGCACACACCATCATGCCCAGCTAATTTTTTGATTTATTGTAGAGATGAGGTCTCGCCAAGTCACCCAGGCTAGTCTCATACCCAGTGTTCACAGCATTGCTCAGGCAATTCTCTCATCTCCACTACGAGGTGAGTCACCACGCCTGGTAAACTTCAGTTTCTAAATGCACACAGAAAAGTCCTATCATACCAGTTTACCTCTTTTCGGTAAACACCTCTTTCTAAACTAAGTATATTTCCTTCAGCACCAATCTACTGAAGCCATTCTACACATACAGTGTTGATTTTTAAAAAATCTCTTAAGCTAATATATACTACACAAATGAAAACTTCCTTTAATTTCTTAAAATTGTATCTTTTGGGTGCAGGGTCCTATATCACTTCTTCAGGGTATGATGAGGTGAGTTTTCCCGGGCCTTCTGCATTTCAGTTAACACTCCTGTGAGTCTTGCTTTTTTTTTTTTTGAGTTGGAGTCTCACTCTGTCACCCAGACTGGAGTGCGGTGGCCGCCTCGACCTGCTGGGCTCCAGCGATCCTTCCGCTTCAGCCTTCCAAGTAGCCGGAA